TGTGCAAGGAGTTCTGATCCATCGGAGTTAGAGACCTTGGTGTCTTCAGTTTCTATGTCTCTCCTTGTCCCTTCTGAGCCACGAGGCAGTGAGAACACCGAGGCTTGTTCCTCCTCCTAGAGGAGACATGAAAGCGCCCGTCCAGAGTGCCCTGTGGTCGCGCCCATCCCCCCTGCAGCCTGGGAGGCTTCCCCAGCACCTCTGCACAGCCCTTGGCCGGCACGCAAGTCCTGCCCGGCACGCAAGTCCTCCACTGTGCCCACACGGGTGTGTAAGAAGCTAACACTTACATGGCAAAACTTTCCCTTAAAGCACAGAATAGAAACTTGAGAAGGCACAAATCGGGACACGGTGAACAGTCAGCCTCCAGCCCCAAGAGGCCACCACATCTGGTGTGGCCCCGTCTTTCCAGGGATGCCCTGGGGGGCCCTGCCAGCCTCCTCTTTCCTCCCAAAGACATGCTCCAGACGTGCTTCATGTCGGTCACAGGTATTTGAAAGACCTCGGTGACATTTACGTCTGTCTGAAAAGGAGGTGACAGCAGTGCGCGTGGTGTCTCCCTTTCTGCTGGTAACGGTCGGTTAGAAGAGAGAGAGTGGTCAGCCGGATGTTGGCGCCGAGGCTTCAGGGGAGGTGAGGGCTGGGTGGGCAGGGGCACTGTCTTCAGCAGCTGGGCACCGTGTGGGCTTTGGAGAATACAGATGCGCCATCGCAATGGCCGTCATGCACGAGGCCTCCTGAGTCACTCAGTGGGGTCTCGCGTGGCAGGGGGCTGAGTTTCTTTCGACTTTGGATGTCCCTGGCTGTCCTTGCATGGTCCTGGTGGGTTCTCCTCTGTCCTTTGAGGTAATGACACCAAGTGGAACTAGACGGAAATTCCTAGAGGAGAGTAGTTTTCATTGGGGCCTTGGAGCCTTTAGACGAATAAATCAACCACCCGTATGTGCCTGGTTTTGCCACAGAAAACCCAACGACTTTTTTTTTTTTTTTTATTAAAGCATTGCAACAACAAAGATTAAGTCAATCCTGTCTCCAAAAAATGAAAAAAGAATTATCAGGGCTGGAGATGTACTCAGTGGTCAAGCACCCTGGCTTCCATCCCCAACACCAAAAATAAGTTGCCCCCAAAGCAGGACATGCCCAGGGTATCTCCCAGGAATACATTACCGCCCTTCCTGTCATTCTCAGCTCACGTCCCACCTCGCCCAGGAGGTGCAACCGTGTGGCCCTTAGCCATCCTTAGCTGGTGACGGTCCCTGCGGTTCCCACTAGGCTCTTGGCTTCCGAGTTGAAGAATCCCACAAAGCACTGCTGTGGGGCTGCTGAGGACCACGGCCTCGGGCACTCGCCATGGGTTCTGAATCGCAGTCCTCCTTAATGGACGTTCGGCTCCCCCAGCGGGTCTCCTGGTGGAAGTGGCTGTGCGCTGGCGTGGGTGGCCCGGTGCAGGTTGTTTCTAGTGTCACACTCAGATTGAAGGATCACGAGGGACCTGCACCATCTGAGACAGGAGGATGGACTGCATAGTTTGAGCTCTCAGCTGAAGCTAAGGTGGTGGACTGTCACCCATCACTAAGAGCATTTTCCAAGACTGGTTAATAACATGAGAAGTTAGTCGCAAAATTATGTCAAATGGAAAAGAATAATGTAATTCTCCATGCAAATATGTATGGAAAGCATGTGTGTGTTATAGGGTAGTTTTTTTTTTTCTTTTTAGTCTTTTCCCAATTTTGCCCAATGAATATATTAGTTCTTATAAAAAGTATGAGAATACTTAAAAAGTGTTAGTAAAGGGCTGGGGGTCTAGCTCCGTGGTAGAGTGCTTGCCTAGCATGCACGAGGCCCTGGGTTCAACCCTTAGTATGGTAAGAATAAATACATAAAGTCTTAGTAAAGTTGGTGAGGAAAATACTAAGGATTGGAGCTTTTCTTTTTATCTTAAACTATGATAGAAAAACACATTTTGGGTTTTTTTTGTTGTTTTGTTAATGATTTTCTTATAATATGTGAGAATTCTAGGACTGTTGATGTTTTCCTTCATTTCTAGTATTTTCGGTAACTGTTTTAAATTCAGCTTTGTATCCTCTTCTACACATGCACCAGCCTGGCACTGAGCATCAACAGGTGCTGCGGCTCCCTCTGGGTCTAGGGCAGCGCCACCCGCCTGACTGCTTCTCAAATACGCTTCCAGGGGCTCTGTCACACAGTGCTACCTGAGTGCCCCGGTCCCGGGCTGTTCTCATAAGAGGGTCACCTTCCTGGACTTGTACATGCCATTTTTCTGTTTAGTTTTGCTTCTGGTTCTATGCTTTCTAATTTAGGGCAAAAGAGTTCATCCTTCTTTCCAAATTATCTTCGATTTCCCAGAGAATCATTGAGGAGCCATAGAGGGACCTGATGGCCCTTGCCGAGGTGCCGCTCTGTGTGCCTGTGTGTTAACTGTGAGTGCTCCTGTTCTAAGGGCTCCCTGCACTCTCACTGTGAATTAATCGCCTCAGAAGCCAGGGACAAGTGGCAGTTGTGTACCCGAGCTCTGAGGATGTGGATCGATAACAGATATGAATACACATCCTGACGGTAACATAGAACACAGGCCAAAGTGTATGTGTGTGTGTGTGTGTGTGTGTGTGTGTGTGTGTGTGAGAGTGAGAGAGGGAGAGAGGGAGACAGAGAGGGGGAGAGGGGGAGATCGTAATTCTCAGTGCTTGAAGTTCAAAGTCAGGGGAGGCAGCCCAGGAGTTCCCGGCCGCCCTCCCCATGGAGGGAGCGTGCTCTGGTGGGAAGGAGGCTCTCACTGTTAGTTTTACATTTCTGTTTGATGGAATCTCAGGTTATGGAAACGACTGTAAAAATAATTTGTCTGAAAGCAGTCTGGATGCAGAGACCTAGGAGAAAATATTGGAGTAGACGGTTCATCGTGGAGTGTGACAGACCCCCCTCCCCAAGCACCACATGGCTCCGATCAAAGCACCCCGTGACTTGGATCCGGTGGCCAAATCATTACGCATCGATTGGAGCCCCACTGGAGCCTTAACCCCTTCCTGCTCACCCTCGCCCCGGGCGGGAACGGCAGCAGTGTGGTCTTCCTGGAGCGGCCAGGTTATTTTCTAAAACCTGATCGTGTATTTGGATGGATTGTTCTTGCTAAATTCTTTTACTTTTATTATTGTGAATCATTAACTTGTACTTTACTTTGCTGAATAAGATTATGTGTGAAAAAATATGTGGAAGCAGTTTCAGGAGAAGAAAGGAAGAAAACTGTCCTACTGTGGGTTGGAGACATAGTGAGAAGCTGGAGAGCTGCAGCTTGTGGAGAAGCCTCCGCCCCCAGGGAGGGCTTCGCCTTCCACCAGGGGCCCGTGGGACACTGCCACTCGCCACCCATAAGGGTGCCTAGTGTGTCGGAGATTGTGTCTAAAGGGGTATGGAGTGTGTTGTTCCAACCTCGGTAGCTTCCATGTTGCTTTCAAAAACCAAGGTGGAATTAGTAACTTCCAGGGGAAAGGAGAGAGGCCCGCCACGTCCGCCCTGGGTGTGGGTTTCTGGCCCTTGATGTCCTCTCCTGCAGGACAGTCCTCGCAGCACAGTCACGCCTGTCCTTGTGCTTCCCTTTCAGCCTGTCCCACGAAGAGCACCCCCACAGCCATCCTCTGTACGGACACGGCGTGTGCAAGTGGCCGGGCTGCGAGGCCGTGTGTGAAGACTTCCCGTCCTTCCTGAAGTAAGAGGTTCTTTTCTGTGCTGGGCTTTCTGTGGCCGTCACTGCCCGTGCTCGCGCTTTGGCTTATCACGGGTTTGCTGACCTGGGGCTCCACGCCACCGTTCAAGAGTGGTCCCTAAGCTCATGTGCCCCGCATAC